CTGCAGGCGCCGCCGCACGACCCGAGCCCCGGAGCTGGCCGGGCCGCGCTCGCGCTCGTGCACGCCGTCTCGGCGTTCGCCGTTGCCAGGCAACGTCCGTGGCGTCACAGGGCGGACCGCGGAACGCTGAGTGCGAAGGAGAGCCGGGCTGCAAGCTAGCCACTTGGGATGCACCCGGTGGTTGGGCCAGGCTGCAAGCTAGCCGCTTGGGATGCACCGGGTGGTTGGGGCGGCCCTGACCCTCCTCCCTATCTCCCAGGCCTCGCAGCTCCAGCCCAGAGGCTCAGCAACCGGGCAGAGGTGGCCAAGCTAAGACCTGGAACTCATGCTTGACTCCACCTCCCTCAGGGGTTAGAGACTGAGAGGGTGACAAGGACTTCGCTGTCCACAGTCCACAGTCCATAGGCAGGGTGAAGCCGCTGGATGATAGGGCCAGTCTTAAGAGTCCAGATTTAGGCCGGGCGGTGGTGGCGCACGCCTTTAATCCAGCACTCGGGAGGCAGAGCCAGGCGGATCTGGGACAGGCGGAACTCTGTGAGTTCGAGGCCAGCCTGTTCTACAGAGCAAGATCCAGGACAGGCACCAAAACTACTCAGAGAAACCCTGTCATGGGGGGGGGGGGAGAAAGTCCATATTTTAAAAGACACGAAAACTGGACCAGCGAGATGGCTTTGCTAGTGAAAGGCACTTGCTGCCAAGCCTGACGGCCTGCGTTCTCCTCGAGACCCATATAGTGGACCGAGAGAACGGACTCTTGCAAGGGGGCTCACACACATAAATAAATGTTTGGGGGTGTTTTTTTTCTGGGGGGAGGTTGGTTTTTCGAGACAAGGTTTCTCTGTGTTGCCGTGGCTGTCCTGGAACTAGTTCTGAAGACCAGGCAGGCCTCAAACTTAAATAAATGTATTTTTAAAAAACAATTGAAAAGCTCAAAGCTTTAGGAGGTAGTCTTTGTGTTGGGAAGAGCACACAGCCTAACCTCCTGGACCAGTCTCAGGCACCAACCACCCGGTTGCAAGGCTCCTGTGGGTTCCTCTGCAGAAACACCCTGGTGTCAGTCACATGACAGCCCTCTTGCAAACTAGCAGGGGAAACTAACATTGGAAGGGAACACACACACACTGACTACAAATGGACCGGCGGTTCTGTGGATCGTCTTTAAAAGGACCCTCTGCCACTTGTAGGGAGTCAGGACAAGTATCTTAGATCCCACTGGAGCTCAGGTCAGGTTTAGGCAGGCCTGGGCTGTGCAGAGGCCTCCTGTGCTTTGCTGGAGCAGTAAGCAAGCCCGTGTGTGTGTGTGTGTGTGTGTGTGTGTGTGTGTGTGTGTGCGCGCGCGCGCGCGAGTGGGTGCACTTTGTGTGTGTGTCCACACGTGGGTGCACTTGTGTGTCTGCACATGGGTGCACTATGTGTGTGTGTGTGTCCACACGTGGGTGCACTTGCATGAATGCACAGGTGAACACTGAACGTGGAGGCTGGGGGACAACTTGCAGGAAATGGGTCTCTCCTTCCACCACATGGGTCCAATGGATCATACTCAGGTCAGCAGGTGTGTCAGAAAGCACTGAGCCTTCTCACTGGTCCTTAGATCTCTCTCTTAGAAGACCTCTCCATTAGAACAAGGGAATCTGTGGCTGATATGTAGAACTGAATGGTATTGTAAAATAAAATAAAAGGGAAAAAAAAAGGCCTCTCCACCAAGCCCACTTCTTAATTCAGTTTTTTCTGGACCTTGGTGGCCAGACCCCCTGCAGGGTTACCATTCCATACCATCTGTGGTATGTTTGGCAAAAAAAAAAAAAAAAAAAAAAAAAAAAAAAAGCAAAACAGGAAAATGTCGATGAAGATCTAGCCACTCAAGGAATTGCAATAAACTGTGAAGAAATGTGTTTTATTTCTCTTGAAGTCCACACAGGGGGGCTTGATGACGGTTTGAACAATTAAGACACAGTCTGAACACATGGGCTCCAAACTGTTTGGTTTGGAAGAAACGTTAAAGGGCCTGGGGAAGGCTGGTCCCTTGGACGTGTTGAATATCCCCTGGTATTGAATATCCCCTGGTATTGTACACATCGGCAGTTCACACTATGGACACCCTCCTGGAGGTGAGCCCTGGCCCGAAGTCTGGACCAGTCAGTTGACAGCCTTCCTTAGGTGTAACTTTCTGGGGCTGAAATCCTAGGCACAGGATATGTTAATCCCTCTGTTCCCACTGGGGACCAGGCCCCACTCGGGGAGTGGGAATGCCAGTGGAATGGCCATGGAATATCACCCACATTCAGTTTGGGTGTGTGTGTGTTATCTCCTGTCCTTTCTCTCCATCTCTCATGAGACATGTCACTTGAAAGAAATGACAATGTCCGTAACTAAGGGCTTATCCTAGTGTGTGTGTGTGTGTGTGTGTGTGTGTGTGTGTGTGTGTGTGTGTGTGTGTGGCAGGGGTGATGGAAGCCGGAAGCACCATGCCTGGCCTGCCTCTTCCTCCCAGGTCTGTCTTCTCTTTGTTCTGTAGAGGCTGCCCACTTCTCTTGAGATCCAAAACCCCAAACCTGTGGCTTCCACCAAAGCCTGTGGCCTTCAAGGCACTGAACACAGACATCCTCTCCCACCTGTGCCTACACCTCTGCTTCCAAAAGAAGTCTGTTGTTTTTTGTTTGCTTGTTTGAGACAAGAGTTTCTCTGTGTAGCCCTGCCTGTCCTGGAACTCACTATGCAGACCAGGCTGGCCTCGAACTCAGAGATCCACCTGCCTCTGCCTCCTGAGTGCTGGGATTAAAGGTGTGCGCCACCACCAGCTGATTAAGAAGTCTGATCTTTTTGGGTCGATTCATACATTATGCTGAGTTGACTTAAGGGACACTTGGATTTGTCATTGCTGGCTGGGCCACTGCCTTCCTCTAGAATGTGTCCCTGGACCTCCCCCTGATAAAGCCACACCCTCCTCTGTGGGGCTTGGTTAGTACTAACTAGTTCTCCGTTGCAAGGGGGGCTGCCTTGCTGATGAGCAGGCCAGTGCGAGCCATGCCCAGTGGTCGGCACTGTGTTAAGGCCAGCATGAGGTGGCTTCCCAAAGCAGCTGCCGAACTGCAGTTTGCTCACTGCAGGGGCCACGCGGTGGAGTGATACCCAGAAATGAGCTGAGGTGGCCAACCTGCAACTCCCTAAGCATCTGTTCCTAAGCATAAGTTCCCTGTGGGAGCTCTCTGGGGTTCCCCTCCAACAGAGCCTTAGCTGCCTCCAGCAAAGGCTGTGCCCACATCCACGAACTGCTGGGAAAGCCTCTGCACTAGGAGGACAGTGGGAACCTGACAATGGGCACCACCCAAAGTCACCTCGAGTTGCCAGACCCTTAGCTCTACCCGCTTGCTCATCCTGGTATCTCAGCTGGCCCTAGGTCCTGGGAGAAGCCCTGGGATCTCCATCTCCAACCTCAGAGCTCCCCTCCCATGGGCAGGGAAGTGATGGAAGGCTGATCGAGGGGCAGAGTGACCTGTTTGAAGCTGGTGACCAGTGAGTGGGGTGCAAGAGGGGCACAGTGACTGCCGCAGCCCAGGGCCCAAGACAAGGCTGGGCCCACAGGGGACTGAGGCCTTGCGTCCTAGCCCAGGCCTTGCAGTTCTGCCTCGGACTTGGCATGACTGAGGGGCCGCAGAGTCCGGGGGAGCCTGCCCTCAGGACCACAATCTTGCTCTTCATAGGTGGGGTTGAGACGGCCCATGCTGAGTGGACAGAAAAGGCTGCGCTCCATCCCGGCGTGGCTCTCCACCAGGGCCTCCAGACTGGGGAACTCTGCTGGCAGGTGCTGAGGAGGAAGGGTCGGTAGCTCTGGTCCCCTGCTCCATGGTTCATGCCATGTAGCAACACCCCACCCCCAGCCAGGTCTCCCACCATATGGAGGGATAAATTCGGAAAGATGGTATGTGCGGTAACCATGGACCCAGTCACCATTTCCTCGCCCTTCCCAGTCTGGGCAGGACTGAGGCAGTTGTCTTAGAAGTACAGAGGTCATGTAAAAGCTTTGCCAGCCCAGTCCTGGAGGCAGACCAGGGACTCAGAGGCTTGATACGTTTAGGTCAGTTCTCCTAGAGGTAACCCCTGAAAGACGCCTCTAGAGGGAGGGCCCCAGTGGGCAGGAACCTCAGTGATTCTCCCTGAACTCTGTGGTCAGCACCCAGCCAGCAAGAACAGAAGGAAGGGCTGGTGTGGTGGCGCACGCCTTTTGGGATATGGTGAACTCCAGTCACCTGACACAGTCTTTCAGTGACAGGCCAGCACGTAAGGAATGAGGTCGGAAAAATGAATGAGTGAGGACATGAAGGGCTCCCTCCGGGCATGCACAGTAGAGCCCTACATTTTTTCCCCTTGTAGCCACAAGGCCGAAGGACCAGAAATAAAATGGGGTTGTGCCAGATCTCCTGTATGATAGATAGGGCATTGCTTTACCAAAGCAATGGGACCCTGAAATGAGAATTGGGGATATTCACTCCAATCTGGATGAGTCCTGCCAACCTACTGTCTCCACACGGCTCCTCTCACCAGCAGAGGCAGGTGGATCTCTGTGTGTTCGAGGCCAGCCTGGTCTACAGAGCGAGTTCCAGGACAGCCAGAGTTACACAGAGAAACCCTGTCACAAAACAAAACAAAACAAAACAAAACAAAAAACAACAACAAAACCCCAAAAGACAGAAGCAGAGCTAGCAGGGCCAGGAGTGGACTAGGAGGCGGGGTGGGGCCAGGGAGCACCTGGCCGAGGAGCAGGATGAAGTGAGGTGGGCTTAGGAGCCCAGGGACAGAGTAGAAATTCAAGAGATGGCGCCCGCATTGGGGTGGAGCTGGAAGCCTCTCAGGGCAACCCCACAGTCTCACCTCTAGGCAGTACCGGCCCAGGTGGTTCCGGAAGACCTGGTGAGGCACCACACCACACTGGGTCCGTACAGACAGGCTCCACTGGTCACCGGTACCTGGCTCTGGCCACAGCAGGAAGGCCCCATGAGCATCTCTCCGCAGCAGGGCAAGAGCACAGGACCTGGGGGAGGAGCCAAGGTTAAGGCCACCAGTCTGACCTCAGACCCAGACCGTTGTCCTCATCAGGGACAATACTAGCCCCAAGAGCTTGGTGGTGGCAGAGGACACTGCATATGTGCTCTCAGAAGTTCTGGACCAGATCAGCCACTCAGTGAACATAATTCGAAGGAACTCAAGGCCTTCTGGGGACCCGACTTGTTGACAGCAAGGCCCTGGTCAGGAGAGGTCTGAGAAACCTCAGGAAGGCTGGCAGTGACAGGCCGGACACTGAGGGTTTCACCTGTGTCTTGCTCTTCTCCCTAGCCCCATTTTACATTCTGGAAAACTGAGGTTCAGGCAGAGGAAGTCCCTGGCCTCAGGTCACTAGGCTGGGAGCATCCCACATTCACCGGTTAAAGTCCATACACTCTGTCTATGCACCCTGAGTACACATGATAAGGAGCCTACCTCAGGTTGTTCATATCTAACCCAAGGGACAGAACTCCCTTACCTGGAGAGGCCAGCAAAGGCCCAGATGTTCTCTGTCAGGCTACCCTCATTCTCCACCAGGCACGAGGGGCCACCAGGGCTGCGGGGCCATGCCTCCCATGCAGCTGGAACTGTGGAGACCACAAAGGTCAGAAGGAGCACGATAGACCCTCCCAAGGCCAGACCTGTTCCTCTACCACACACCCCCATCCCATCCACGGTTTGTCTCCCCACCAAACCTTTCCCCAACTGTCACACATCTGCTCCCCCAACAGAAACTCTACACTCACCAGTTAAAGTCCATACACAGCTGTTCAGTTGCCCTCCAGCCTGATGCACCCTCACAGGCACAGGCAGCCATGGGGGGGGGGCCCAAGGGGGCAAGGCCTCAGCCTCAAAAATCCATGCATGAACCCCCAGCCCCTGCCAAGTCCACTAGCCAGCCAGCCCCCTCCTCCAACTCACAGGCCTCCCGGGCTGAGAGCTGCAGCTGCATCTCATAGGTGCAGCCTCGGTAGGCCCCGGAGCGGATCACCTTGCTGCGGATGGCCTTCTTGCGCACCAGTGTGGGAGAGCAGTAGGGGTTCCCCAGGCGAGTGTGACGGGTGCCCCCACGGCCCTCGGGCTCTGGCAGCTCCTTCTGAGGCACCAAGAGGGGCTTATGGGCAGGCAGATTCAGATCCCTCTGTCTGAGCCCAGGTGAACCCTGCAAGGAGCCCACCCCTCCAACACAACCAACCCCCAAGCCCCTGACCCTCCCCCATCCACTTCCTGACTGGGGTGGTGCGTACCCCACTGTTGCCCAGTAGCCCTTCTGCAGGAATTCGCCGGAAGGAGACCAGGGCGTGGACATTCTGTGACAGCTGATCCCGGCTGAAGGGCTCTCTCACTAGGGCAGGGGGTGCCCCAGGGCTGCAGAGCGGCTTCGGGGACATGTCCCCCCCAGAGCCCAGGCAGGACTCAGGCTGCGCCCTCTCCTCAGGGTGCTGTGAGAGGTAAGCCAGCTGGAAGGAGCGGCAGAGCAGCAGGTACAGGATATGGACCTAGGACAGGAGGGGGGCTCAGCTGCAGCCGCTTCCTGGGAAGCTCCTCAGGCGTCAGTCCACTCTTTAGGGCTGCAAATGGCCCGCTGGCTTCTGACGCCCCTCCCAAAACTTCCTGGGGAGACTCCTACTTAGCCCTCAAAATCTCACCACACGCAGCCTCTGCTACCAGCTTTCTCTTGTCGGTTCACTACGAAGTCACTTTGTGCCAGGCATCGTGATGGGAGCAGAGAGCACGAGCCTGGACACACGGCACTCCTACACCAGCCTCCCCAGCCTCCCCGTGCTCAGGCCCTCAACACCCCCAGGAGGAGGAGCTAAGAGCCCTGAGTTGTTGAGTGAGCCAGGGTGGAGCATGGAGCCCACGTGCCTGCTTCTTCATCCTCACCTCCCCACGATCCTCTGAGGAGTTAATGAAATGGGGCACTGAAGACTCTCAGCACTTGTCTGGGGCCTGGACATGGAGTCCATCACTCACTCACATACTCCAGACCCAGGCTGTTGGAACCATCAACTTCAGCCACCTGCCTCCCAGGGTCCGCATCCAAAGGTGGGACCAAATGCCGGAACTCACTAAATGACAGGCTGTCACAGGTCTGTCATCCACAGGGACCACACCAGCCTTGACCTCCAGTATACCTGCCCATGACTACCAATGTCTGCTACACAGAGCTACATGGGACCTGTCACCTAGGAACAGCTCAAAACCTGGACCACGCCTCTGCTGTTAAAGGACTCAAGTGTCTGTCATCTGTCACCAGGGACAGCCCCGTGCTGGAGTACGGCTCATGTCACAGGTGGGCTGGGCTAAGGGTGGTGGGGACAAGCCAGGATGAGGGAGGGAGGGCGCGTACTCCACAGCAGAGGAAAGTCCCAGCTAGTGCAGGGGATGTCAAGGGTGCCGACTTACTACACACAGTCCCGGGGGAAGAGCCAAAGGCCAGTGTGGTGAGGCCCGGACTCACCGCCGCCGCCCGATAACAGCACTACCCCTCAGGGCACACTACCCTCTGGGTCTCAGGTACCTCTCCAGGCTGGCTCCCCACAAAGAGGTGGCAGAAACGCTTGCTGGCCGGGCTGCGCGGGTTCCGGGCAACGAAAGCAAACTGACAGGCGGCTGGGCACCAGGTGGCATAGAGGATGCGCTTCAGGGCATGGGCCATGAGGAGCACCTGCGAGGAGGCATCGTGGTGTGTGGCAGTGGCCACCCACCGCCTGGGGCGAAGAGACCCTTCTTCCCCAGAGGCCTGCCAAGCCCCAGCCCTCAGCGCTCACAGCTCTGGGCCTGCCAGACAGGTAGGTCAGGGTGGCCACCCCAAGTTACAGAACTGAGGGACAGAACAGTGACCAGTCAGTGATCTCTAGCTGGAGCCACACAGGGGCAGTGGCGGCAGGTCCTGGGGTTCTACACTGGTATCTGGGGTAGAATGCTCGGAGTTCAAATCCTGGCTCTGCCACTCACTCTCCACGTCTCTTGGCGTCATGTCAGACAGCAGCCATGCCTCAGGCAGGTGATGTAGGACCCCAGGGCACCACCACAGCTGGCACTGGGCCTTACGTAAGAGGCCTGCAGCTGTGGGTGGCACAGTCTGGCCTGGCAGGAAATAGGCGGCCATGCCGGTTGTCCAGTGCGTAGCCAGGGAGGGACAGACAAGCACGCAGGAGCTCCCTTCTATCTCCAGCCCACGGCTGTCCACAGCCACCAGCCAATGCTGGACCAGGCACTTGGAAAGTCTCATAGGGTGTTTGTCCCTGATATTTAGGATAGAAAGTGGCCTCTAGAGAAGATTCTGGAGGGCTAGGCAAGCTTGTCCTAGGGGTGGCATGGGGCAAACTGTAAGACAGACCAGACCCCATCTGGTCCCCACTGCCTTGGCTCCTCCTATCTCTCCTACCTCGCCCTCCCCACTGTAGACCTTGAGACCCTGGAGACTGAATTTCAGGATGACAGCGCGGCGTCTGGAACAGTCCTGAGGGGAAGAGAGTTGACAAAGGCAGGTGTCACTTCCTAGTTCTGGCCCGATGCAGTCCCGCCACAGTGGCCCTCATCAAGGCTGCTCAGCCAGTTCTGACCCCCAACAGTCATGCTATGACCTGTGGGGCCTGGGTCCCAGGCATCTAGGAAGAATCCTGAAGCCTGGAACTACTGGTCACCTCTCAGAAGACCTCTGGTCCCACCCTCCCTGGGCTTCTGATGCCCATCTGAATGAAGTGTGTGCTGGGGGGACTGACATTCACGGTGCCCTCAGTGACTTGGGTTGTGCTCCCCAAGTCCCTCACCTGCAGTGCCCAGAGCTGCTGCTGCACAAGGTACACACCCTCCTGGGTGTCCAAGTCGTCCACAGGAAAGGATCCCACGTACTGGTGGGGATGGGAAGAAGAAAGACGGGGGAGTAAGGGCCACGACTCCAATGCACAGTACTCCACCCTGCAGGCAAGCTGTGGGTAGTGACCAAGCACTGTCCTTGAAGGCCAGTGTTCTTTGTTAACCTTCTCAGCAGGTGACCCTGGTCAGGTCACAGGGGTCTCATCTTCTCACCTACACAGACGTTTGTATACACACATCCACTCCAAAGGAGTCCTTGGGCCCCAGGTCCTCCCCAACCCCAGGGAGTAGCCACCCCACAACTATCTTCCAGAGCACACAAAATGGACACCCACCCACCTGGGCAAACTTGGCAATGCACCTGGGCCGGTAAGGTGCAGGCCCGCAGTCGGAGGCCCTGCGGGCTCCGGCCCCAGCCCTCTGCATGGTCCCCAGCATGCCCAGCTTCAAGCTCCACGGAGGGAAGGCTACGAAGGGCAGGGGAGAGGTTGGTTTTCAGGCAGGTAGGTTGAAGGCTCCCTGTCAGGGGCTGGTGTGTTCATTCATTTGCTGGCTCCAACACTCCTTCATTCATTCAAGCAACCAACCAATCCTCACTGAGTGCCCATCGACATCCTGGGCACAGGCCAGAGACAAAAGACACACTCTGCCTGCTTAGAGAACAGCATTCTCGGGGAGCATGATGGGAAACTAGATAATAAGCCTTAAACGGGTGAGATGTGGTAAAATGGAGAAGCGCAATTGCGTGGGGCAGGGGACAGATGGGGGTTCATGACGGCTAAAAGCTGCACTGGGAGAGGTCTGGGGAGGGACTGACCAGAAGTGGGATGGCTCACGGCATGGGCCACTGAGCTACAGCTCGGGTTGGCTGGACCCTCTGTGGTAGAAATTTGGATCCAGCTCTTCTTTAGTGCCAGAGGGAAACTGGTGTCTGCCAGTAGTTCTGCCCTCTCAGGAGGCTGAGGCAGGAGGGCCAGAATCACTTGAAACCAGAACTTCAGGGTCAGTGTGGATGAGAGGAGAGAGAGAGGAGAGAGGAGAGAGGAGAGAGGAGAGAGAGAGAGAGAGAGAGAGAGAGAGAGAGAGAGAGAGAGAGAGAAGGTGTCATAGGGAAAACAGAAGAGTCTGAAGAGGCCACTGAAGAGCAGGATGACAGCAGTCAGCAGGGAGGCACAGAAAAGGTGTGTCGTGGCCTGAGGGAGACTGCCAAAGCAGCGGGCTGCACCCGACTCAAGATCAGCCTTAGGTCTGAGACTTTATCCCATGGACAACGGGGAGCCACAGCAGGCCCTGGGGCAGCGACTGCACAGGGCAGTCCAGCTGGATGGCTAGCACTGATAGTATCAGGAACCCGTTTTCAAGGCTGCTGGCTCGCTGGTCCAGCCTGACTCCAGTCCCTTTCTGAATCCCAAAGCCCTTTGCAGGTATGAAAAAAACAATCCCCCCAAATGATGCACTGGCACTAAGTGGGGTGCAGAGAAGACGGACAACTACCCAGGGGACTGACAAACAGCACTCCTGCCCTGCCCTATCGTGTTCTCTGGGACCCACGGCCAGATCCACGGGTCGGGGGTGGGTGAGGGGACAGGGAGGAGCAGACGTCATGTGGAGCAGACACATAAAAGACCAGCTATTTCAAGGCAGAATGGACGAAAGTTTCGGCTGGGGTCCCCACAGACTCAGCTCCCCCAGCGACGACATAAGTCACGGCCCCTCTCTCTATTCACACCAGCTTCTTGCAATTACAGACCTGGATCAGAGAGGCCTGGGTACAAGTTCTGTGTGGCTTTGGGGCAGCTGCCGTCCCTCTCTGTGCCCACACTTCCTCACTGGCAAACCTTGGTAGGTAATGTGAGGTGCCTGGCGTGATGTCTGGCACAGGGGATGAGGCCCCCAAGCCTGCTGGCAGGAAGGGAGCTTGGGAAGACAACAGAGCCTAGAGCTTTCAAGACTCCAGGCTGGAGTCTCTCACGGCCTCTCACACCCCCGCCCCCCAGGGTGAGGCTGGGAAGATTGCCCTACAGGCTTTGACTCCCCCCAGAGACCAGGGGTTAGTAGTGTGGCCTGGGTGTGCCACAGCGTCAGGAGTGCTTGGAAAGGGAGAGACTAGGATGTCTTAAAATTGACCCTCACCGGGTGGCGGTGACATATACCTTTAATCCCAGCAGAGCCAGGTGGATCTCGGTGAGTTTGAAGCCAGCCTGGTCTACAGAGTGAGTTCCAGGACAGGCTCCAAAGTTACACAGAGAACCCCTGTCTGGAAAAAACAAAACAAAACAAAACAAAATAATAAATTGACCCTCTTAGAACCCAGGAAGGGTCCTCCATCTCTGCCTGCCAGTGACCTTCAAGCCCAAGCTCAAGCCAGGGAGCAGAGGCCAGCAGGCATTTACAACTTTCAGTCAGGAAGAGCCGGGAAACAAGGCTGCAGCCTCCCCTCAGAGCCCGCCTGGACCTCCGAGGCTGCCGCCAACCTGTGTTCTCACCCCCCTTTCTAGTCCTGCTCATTTTTTATCACTTGTCTCAACTGCAGCTGACGTTTGTGGGAAGCAAAGCACGCTCCTGCCACGGGCCACCCGCCCCTCCCTTCCCAGCAGGCAATGAGGGGGGCGGGGGCGGGGGAGGAACAGGGTGAGAAGGACAACCACAGAAGAGATAAAGAGAGCTGACAGGAGCCTTCACACCCTCCTGGGCCACACAGCCCCTCAAGCACCAGGCAAAGGGGGAAAGAACCAAGGGTCAGTACTCACACACAGAGACCAGCTTCCTGAGTGTGTGTGTGTGTGTGTGTGTGTGTGTGTGTGTGTGTGTGTGTGTGTGTGGTTGATGGGGTAGGGGTGAGGGGTGAGGGTTGGACAGCACTCTCCTAGTACCTGGTCCTTCCCCATCCTCTTCATATTTAGCCTCACAGAAACAGGAACTTTGTCCCTTCTGCCTCCCTTCCAGTCTGATCCTTAGACCAAGCAGGATGCCAGGGCTCGCTGAAACCCTGGTAACAACCGCACACCCAGCTCATCTCTTTGAACCAAATCAAAGTTATCCACAAGGGTCTTCTGGGCCAGAACCTTCCTTACAAAAAGACACATTTGGGATGGCGCTGGGCTTCTATTTTCTGGGTGGTGGTTCTGCTTAACTGGCTAGGTTGACAGGTCCTTCTATACCTCATAGTCAACTATCCATCCCCTCAGGGTACTGGAGTCTTTCCTGCCTGCGTGCAGATCCCAGCTACTTGACCAAAGACACACAACACAGGATAGGGAGCTGGCCAACCCAGGACTCTGCCTAGGCATGGCAGTGCCCTTCTGCCTAGAGGCTATGGGTCCCGGAAGCAAGCATCCATCCTTGGTACACACTGGGTCTGGGTCTGTGCAGGAATAGGTGCCGCAGGAAGGGCCACTAGTATCCCCATAGCCTGTAACAACTCAGGTGCTGGGGACCACACTGTTTAGAAAGGCAGAACTCCCTCTCCCGTGCCCAGCACACCCGATAGCCCCCACTCACCCACACACACAGGTCCTGGACCCGCGCAACCAGGGACAGGACTGAGGTTCAGCAGGGTTGGCTAGTGTGACCTTGGCCTGCCAGCCTCCAGTTCCTCAGCTGTGGAGGGAGGGGACCACGAAAGGCAGTCAAGTCCTGGAGCTATTCATCAGCTCTGGACGCGCGGAGCACACTGGCTGCATGCGGAAGACACCGACGCGATCGCGCGCGCGGAGGTGCGGGGCGCGTGCGAGCGTTGACAGCGACCTCGCAAGCGTCACCGTCCCCACGTTAGGTTTTCGGAGAGGGGGGGGGGGACTCAGGTGCCCCGGTGCCAGGAAGGAAGGGATGGAGACGATGGCTAGGGTGATGGTAACAGTCCGTGGCGGGAGGTGGGGGTGCGGTTCGCTTCTGAGCGACCCTCCCGTCCCCCGGCCCGCTCCCCGCACGCACTCACCGCCACTGTCGCGCCTCTTGGCAGGTCTCACAGCTCGGGTCCCCGCAGCCTGCTTGTCTACCCAGCGCTGCGTCCGCCCCGCCCCCGCGCCGCGCACCCCCAACGTGGCCCCGGGACCCGACCCTCAACATCACCTGGCGGCAGGGCCGCCCTCACCAGCCAATCGGAGCCAGCGGAGTTGCTCCGCTCGGCTGCGCTGCCCAATCAGAAGCTGCGAGGGTCCCTGGCTCCGCCTACGCCGAGGCTCGGGCTGGCTCCGCCTTGTCGCTCCTCCTCCAAGAAGCCATCCTGTCCCTCAGAGCTCAGGGTCTCGCCACTCGCCCCACGGTACTTGGAGCGCAAAGGTCTCCATCTCCATGCAGGGCCCAGCTCCGCTCGATTGCTCCTTGACCACGCAGTTCCACACCTTCACACGCAGATGGCAGAGGACTTGGTGGCACGTATTCCCTTCCCGTGGGGGGATTCACTGGGCTGCTCATCTGGGGTCCAGCACAGAGCGCTGACCCTGTCCTTAGGACCGCACGGAAATCCACTTAGATGGGCAAATGGTGAGTGAATTTAGCCAGCGCACGCATAGAGGGAGGGCCCTTCTGATCCCATCAGGCAAGGAGCGCTGTAGGTGGCCCAAATAAATCGCAAATCCCAGCCAGGCAAGCACTTGGTGTGTATTAAGCCCGAAATCCGCAAAGAGAACGCATCAGAAACTGCCCGTGCCCCACACCATAGAATTCCAGGACATCGGGGTTCTGGCCCAGGGGGAGTAACTGCTGTCCCCATCTCAGGGGACACCCGGGCAGATGGCACCGCCAATGAGAAGCTGGCCCTGAATCTGTTGCCTCAGAGGAGTTCCCAGGGGCAGGCTGGGGACTGGGCATCACTTGTCTCTGCAGAGCTCCTGGCACCGTCCCAGAGGCAATGGTGAGGTGTGATGGTTAGAGGCCCAAATCACAACGGGAGCTTCCTCACTCTCAAGTGGGACTCGGGTAAACATTTTAATCGCATGAATCCTCAGGGCCTCTCCACAAGGTTGTTGCCACCCCTGACTCACAGCCAGGTGAGGATTCCGCAAGGCGCTGACAGAGCACAAGGCCCGGCCTTGCCTGGTAAGTGAAGGTTCAGTAAATACAGTTATACTGTAGCCGTGAGTTTCTTTTGTCTGTGTCCTGGCGAGCGAGCGTTTACCAACTCGCCTGTGCTGAGGGCTAAGGGACCTAGCTGAGAGTCTCCAGGCTAGGACCAAGAAGCAGCAACGTGGCAAACTCAGTTTACCAAACTGGCAACGTAGGATACATAAAAAATGAAAGGGCAAACTCCCAACTTTTAAAAAGAAAATAAATAAGAAATATTTGAAGTACCTTACTTCATTTAAATTTTTTAATTTGGATTATTTTTAATTGTGAGCTATGGTGGTTCATTCCTTCTTTCATTCTATTTATCAGTATGGGTGTTTGGCCTGCTGATATGTCTGTGTGCCACATACATGCCTGGTACCCTCGCAAGCCAGAAGAGGGAGTCAGATTCTCTAAAACTGGAGTTAAATACAGTTGTGAGCTCACATGTGGGTGCTGGGAATTGAACCCAGGTCCTCTGGAAGAGCAACCACTTAGCCATTTCTCCACCCAGATTTATGAGTATTTTGTCTGCATGCATGCTTGGGTCCCTCAGAGAGAAGAGGGCCACAACTCTGGAACTAGAATTACAGCTGGTTGTGAGCCACCATGTGGGTGCTAAGAATACAACCCAGGTCCTCTGCATAAGCACCAAGTGCTCTTAATGGCTGAGCTATCTTTCCAGCCCCCACAATAAAAACAACCTTTTTTTTTTTTTTTTTTTTTTTTTTTTTAAAGAAAGGAAAAAAGTGACTGGAGATATACTTCAGTGGTACAGCACTTCTCAGGCATGCCCAAGGCTGAGTTCAGTTCTTAGCACTGACGAAAGAAAAACCAGGCAAGATGCTCAGTGGGTTAAGGTACCTGCTGCCAAGGCTGATGACCGGAGTTCAATTCTTAGGACCCACATTGTGGAAGAAGACAACTCCTAACAAGTTGTCCTCTGCCTTTCAAAAGCCCATAACCTTACATGTGCACATACAAATAATAAACAAGATGTAATTAATAATAATAATGGAAATCCTGTAGGCTGGAGAGAGGCTCAGTGGTTACCAGATCCCAGGTTCAATTCCCAGCACCAGCAGGCTGTTTGTTTCACAGCCACCTGTAATTCCAGTTCCAGGGGATCCAACACTGTTTTCCGGCTGCCTTTGGCATCAGGCACACATGTGGTACACAGACACCCATACACATAGAATTCAAAGGTGACAATCTTTGGAGGTGCCAACCATCTCTGGGCAAGCTGACCTAGTCCCACTGAGAACTGTAGCATGAAGCTAGAGTCCCCACCTCGTCTGCCACGTGTCTAATCCTGCATTCCTAACAGCAAGCTCTCTGGAGTTTCCAGAAGCAGCATTTCAACTGGATGGGTGACTCACCTGTGCAGGAAGCCTGGTGTTACCCATATAGAGCATGGAGAGGAATGTCAAAAAAAGACAGGCCGGGGCGGGAGTCATGATCGCCACATGCATTAGTGCGCACCTTGCAAGTCATGGTTATTTCCTGATGAGTCAGTGACAATCACTAAGCCACACAAGTGGGAGCTTGCTATCACAATCTCCCCTTTAATCGAAAATCCCGGAATCTGGCTGTGCGCTTGCCAGCTGACGGATGTGAGTGGGAGTAACTGCACATCAGCAGGAAGCTGCTCTCCAGCTGGCTACAGGGCTGGGTGGTGCGTCTCCTTTACCCAAGCACCCAGTGAAGCCAGTGCCCCAGGAGAGATGCCGTGCTTCCAACCAGGCCTTACACTTTTCCAGCAGAAAGGAGAGGTCTGAGCAGAGGGGGGCGTCTTCCCAGAAACATACGAGTTTGTTGCTAAGACAGACTGGGCATCTGAGGATGCATTTCCTACAGGAAGACTGCGCAGTACCCAACCCACTCTGTAACACCTACATTGAAAAACGGAAGCCGCTAAGATGGGGTTTTGTTTTGTAGCTTGCACACTGAACACCTTCAGTTCTGCCCTCAGCCCTGCTGTTGACCCAGGCTGGCAAGGATGCCTGCTGATGGCTGCACAGGCCTTGGAAACTCACATGGAGCTGCCTGGGTTTCTGACCACTGAGCCATCTCTCCAATTCTTCACCACCGTATGTTATCAGCAAGACTGACTTATTCAAACAGATCCAAGTTTCCAGATTGGTGAAAGGGAGTGAGGCTGCCGCACAACCCCAGATGGAGACGACCAAGGGGAGGATGGCAGGAAATGGGTGATGGGTAGTGGGGGACTGCTATCCAGCTCATGGCTGTTAAGTGAATACATCTAGGTTCTGGAACTTCTCTTGGTGGGCATCATGGAAAACTGCCAACCTAACATGGGGTTCTGACGGTCACCATGTTTCCTGGGAAAGCTCATCCTGTGTACTGGGTGATACTAGTTCTGGAGTAAACTGTGAGAGTACCAAACAAAAAGTATTCCAGGGCTAGTAGCTGAGAGTGGCCGAGTATCTGAACAGAGTCCTATAAAAACCTTAGGGTCACCTACATAGCCTCTGAGGGACTATATGCCCTATCCCCCCAATAACCAAAAAAAAAAAAATCTTTTCAAAACCTTCAGGCCACACAGATAGTATTTCCCAGGAAATCAACAGCCTAATGTTTTGGCAGCAGTCAAAAGCTACACTGAAGATGGATATAGAGGTTATTGCCTATAGACCCAGCACTTAGAGGCAGAGGCAGGAGAATCACTGCAAGCTCAAAGCCAGTCTGCTTTGTAGGGAGTGCTAGGTCACCCAGGGATAGATATCAAGACTCTGTCTCAAAAAATCCAAACAAAACAAAATGCCTGCCAGCCACCCTGACTTATTTGCAAACCTGCTTTCTGATGACTTCATTTCCCAGTGTTCATAAACAGTTCTTTGCTGTGGAATAATCCTTCTATACACTGTGAATGTGTATTACTCTCACTGGTCAATAAAGAACTGACTGGCCTATTCCTGGGCAGAAAAAGATTGGGCAGGAGAGCCAGACTAGGAGGATGCTGGGAAGGAGGGCAGAGTCTGGACATGTGAGCAGCAGCAGAAAGAAGCAAGATGGACATGCAGTACGGAGAAAAGTTACCAAGCCGCATAGCAAAGCATAGATAAAAATATGGATTAACTGAAAATGTAAGAGTTAGCTAGTAACAAGCCTGAGCTACTGGCCAAGCATTTATAATTAAATTAAGCCTCTATGTGGTTAACTGGGAACGGCTTGTGGAACAGAAACTTCTGCCTTCCAGTTCTTTCCAAGGGTAGAGATAGAGTCACTGGGCTGAGAGACACTTGGGACAATTCAAAAGCTTAAAAAATAAAAAAAAAAAATAAAATAAAAAAAAGCCTAGGGGGAAGCAATCAAAATGGTTCAAAGTGCACAGGGTTGGGGACAGCAAGACATCTCAAAGGGTAAAGGCACTTGTCACCAAGCCTGATGACTTGAGTTAAATCCCCTGGTCTGATATGGTGGAAGGAAAACCAACTCCAAGTTGTTTCCTTATCTCCACATGGGTGCCATAGCACATGAATACACACTAATTTTTTTTAAGTGCACAGGTGCTAACTCCACCTTGCCACCTACCTGTGACATACTATAGAATCTTTTCCTCCCATAAATTGAAGACAATAAACCATGACCACAGAACTGCTAGGCATGCGACAATACAATACAAAGCCTGGCATATAGACATGGCTACTTTTATTATGGAATTTTTATTAAGTGTTTGGGTACATCCAAAAGTTTGGTCACCAGGTAGCTGGGAGGTGGCAGAACCTTTAATAGGTAGCAGTCCAGTGGGAGAAGTTGTGCCCTTGCACCCTGCCTTATTGGAGAGCCAGTGTGTGATGATGTGAATGAGAACGGGCGCATAGGTCCCCAGTCGGTGGGACTGTTTGGGAAGGATAAGGAGGTGTGTCACTGTAGGTGGCTCTGAGGTTTCGAAAGCGCGTGCTACTCCCAGTTAGCGCTCTGCTTTGTGCTAGTGGATGAAGAGTGAGCGCTCGGCTATG